AATCATCATTATTTTTTATGATCATTATTATTGTTGTCGTACGCGCTGAAAACCCAAATATGCAGCGCGCCCGAGAAATAAAGCGAAGAGTAATGAAGACGATGATCGCTGCGATGGCCAAAAAAGAAAGGGGGCTTGCGCGAAGAGTCGGAACTGAAAAATGGCTTATACGCATGCCTTCCGGGCTGTGTACATAACCGTTTAAATGTGACTTTTGAAAAATTGCCAAAGTTTATCAAACTCTCCTTTTCTCGACTGCGTGTCGAAGTGTAATAATTACATTAGTCGAAGAGGATTATATAGCTTTCATATTTTTTGACAGGCTTCGCACACACTGTATAATAATACTCGTCTCTGATTTGTATACTGCCGTGTGTGGCGCACCCGTGAAGCCAATATATGCCATAATGGAATTATATCGAGGAAATGAAAAATAAAAAAATAAAAGAGGATGAGGTTAATTCGTAAACGCTCGTTGCAGGTTACATAATATCACGTATAGCCCCCTTTCCTTACCTATATGTAACGAAAAATAACAAAAATAATAATAATGACAATAATCCAATTCCTGAGCCTTAAATGCCATGTACATATGCTTATGTATGTATCGCCCAGATAAAGAGGACAGAAAGAAAAAATTATAACACAGGCCCAGCCCGAATCGGAAAAAAAAGAGTTCGGAAGCTCTTCGGAAGCCTATACGTTTATATAGCCCTATTGAAATTGATCGAAGGGCGTAACTCGATTATACAATGATAATTAAGAGCAGTTGCTGCTGCCGCTGCTGCTGCTTCGACTGCTCGAGTATTATATATATATAAGACGTTAGCCGTGTCGATCGCTGCTCCACCATCTCGTCTCGTCTCGTCGATGACAAAAAAAAAAAAAAAAAAAAAAAAAAAAATNAAAGAAAAAAAAAAAAAAAAAAAAAGGAAAAAAATCTGTCGCACGCGTGTCACCTTCCGCGCGTAGAGAGGCACATCGATGCACATGGCGCATATAAATAATAGAAACTACCTGCGTGCACGTACGAGAGCGTATCGGAACCAACCCCCTTCAAAAAATAGATCCATATTGTACCATCGATACCCCCCTTGTGTGTGTGTGTGTGTGTGAAAAAGACGATGGAACGAATCCGTACACGGCGCATTGTAAAATCGAATTAGCGGATCATTTGAATTTAAGATCTCTCTCTCTGTAGGTTGCACTGATATTATATATTATATATATACGTAAGGCAACTACACGCAACTCAACTACGGCGACAACAAAGCGCGCGGCGACGAAGAGAAAGAAAAAGAAAGAAAAAAAAGGCAAACGAATCGACGAATCGATACGTTGCGAATTTTTCGAGTCGCATAGAGAGGGAGCTTACTTACAACTACTACTACTACTATAACCCCCTCTCCAAAAGCAAAAGAAAAGGGTTGATACTCTATAAAACGAATATAATATATATATCGATTTTTTGCTTACTCGCGAAAGAAAGAGAGAAAGAGGAACAGTGGTTGAAATTAAAAATTCAAAGCACTCGTTCGTTTATAACTCCGGGTTCATTCTCTTCTGTTAAAAAGGATATCATCATTATATAATACATCCCTCGTTACAATGAACTTTTCACGCTTGATTCGAGGCCTCGAGAGGTCGCCGCCGCGCTGCAACAAGCTAGAGATATACACGTAAGAAGACGAGAAAGAGAAAAAGAACGTCGTCGAAGAACAAAAGTTTCTCTCCCTGCAGCTGCAGCCCGTAAAAGCGATGACGATGACCACCTGGACAACGCACAAAACGCATCCTCGAGCTCTGCATACAAGTGCGTAGTCACGATTCGTACCTACGTCGGCGATTCGCGCCGTTACAAATGGAAAAGAAAAATCAACGCGCTACGACGCGATCATCTCGAGAAACAGATGTCGCTTTATAGAGAGTAATTATCGCTTTATAATATTGGCCTTTTAATTCGCGGGGCCGGAAGCCCCCCGGAATATCGATACACATATTATACGCACTATATGCATACGTGTAAAACGCAACACAATTGAAACTTCTTACATATACGGCAGCGGTGGTGGTGGCGGCGGCGGTGCGAGATGAAAGAAGATGCGAGAGATCGATCTCAGATCGACTCGATTAAATTGTACCGCGCGGCACTATATACGCACCTTCTTCCCCTGCGCATAAGAATGCGGCCGATACGATATCTCTAGAGCTCCGATCACGAGAGTACAGTGACGAAGCAGTAATCATTGTTCGCACATAATACACAGATCGCGCAACGATCCTTCTGTTTCGCGCGAATGAGATCTCGCTCGAGCCGCGTATAAGAGAGATATATATATAAACGTATTTAATTGATTTGTTCTGCATCTCTCTCTCGCGGATCGATATTATTATAGTTTTCATTGTGCACGCGCGATTGTGTATAATATACAAAGCGCCTGTAGCTTGCCGTGCGCGGCTCGAGCGAGAAACAATGCGAGCGCAATTTTCCTCGATATTACGCCGTGTAATACCATTGTGTGTGAAGCGATCGTTCGGCTATCTAGAAATTTTGAACTCTGCCGCTAATTGTACGCGCCTTTGTTTATCAACGAGTAGATTTCATTCTTATTGCACTTGTTTGCGATGTACGATACGTATTTTTATTTCACTCGATTGAAGATAAAATTTTTTTTAAAGAACATTCGAAATTTGACAATGAATTAATTAATTGAATTGTAAAAAAAGTGACCATTTAAAACGCGTCGCTATCGATTGCTCCGAAAAATTTAGATCAGTTTTCACCGCGACGATATCGTTTGAAGCCTTCACCGCTAGATGGCGACTATACCTTTGCATGAAGATCTGCAAGTGGCAAAATCAAAATAATAATATAAGTAAAAAAAAATTAGACTAAAATGTGTGAAGAAACCTCTCGTCATTTATTTCTTTTTCTGGACTGTAATAGAAATTAGACGCTTCGCGCTATGTCATTTTCATGTAATAATAACGACGCAACGACGTTCGAGTCACGCGTTTTTCGGCCTTACTTCGAGATTATTACCGAATGACGCGCGCGACAAAACGCACGACATTGCACACGCGCAGAAAAAGCTTTACAACAAAAATGTATAGCAGTAGGCGCGTATGCGATTTTTGTCTCAATTCCATTTAAATCCACCGACCGATCGGCGCATTTGCATTTTCTATGGCTTCGATATATACAGACGTATGTGTACGTGTATGGGGGGGTAGGTAATTTACATAGAGTGCGAGAGAGCCGCGCACACACATACACGCGCGAATTTCAGGAGCCTCGAAATGCGAGGTAATCCATTCAGTGGCACGCGCTTGATAACATTGACACGGCGCTGGGGCCGGGGAGGGGCCCTGCCTATATAAATATGTACATAGCTTCGGACACAACAACAACGGGCGAGTCATCGACAAGTGAAATAGAGAGAGAGAGAGAGAGAGAGACTCCTTTTATCGGCAATCCAAGTCTCGATCCGATCGGTCACTCTCTCTGTATATACCAGTCGTCGTTGTGCTTATATATATAGCAAAGGAGAGAGTGACGCATTTAAATTAAACTCCGTCACAGGCACGTGCCCATATATATGTATATAGCTTGCAGAACGAGAAGCCACTTCGACGTATATAACACAGCACAACACAGTTTCTCCCCCCGTCGCTTTCTGTCTGTTCTTCGCATCGACTTCCTTCGTTACGTATATATACCCTTCGAGCTTATTTCCTCGCACTGTATATCGCGCGTGCAACCCTATCTCTATCTCGCGTACGTATGTGTACGTCGTTTCATTTTCTGGAATAAAACACGAGCGTTTTAAACAATCTATGGCGATTTGGTGTCGGTGTGTGTGTAGGGTACGATAATTTTCGGATACCACTCTGGTAATTTTCGAGCTGATAGATCCTCTTCTCTGATTCTCTCAAAATCTGCGTATCTGTTTTTATACTGGTCGGAAATGTGTTTTGCCACTTGCGAATTTACAGTGATCCATCTGTCGATGAAATCGAAAAGCTCACGAACAAATACGACGCCTCTTACTATAATAAATCTCGTTACAGAACTAAACGAATTTTTTAATATTATAGTCCTTACATTTTTTATAAAAATTCATTTTTAAAATCTCTAACAGCTAGTAAGAACTGCTAGAACTTCTTCCGATTATCAAATTAAAATTCTCATATTAACAATAAATTGTATAACGTCTTTTTTGGATTTATACTAATCTGAAACTTGTTTTGCCACTTGCGAATTTGCGATGGTCCATCTGTCGATGGAACCGCAAAGCTCACGATAAAATTAAAGACTGTACAGAGAGTAAAGTAGCCAATTTTCGGAAACTTGTTGTATTTCACATTTTCTTTCTTCACGCGGCTTTTTTTTTATTTACCTTGTTTGTAATGTATAATCTATTAGCACCACTGTATTAATCAATTTCCTGTTGCGAGTATTATTCAATCTTTTTGGTATTTTTATAATCGGAAAATTGTTCACCACAGATGAACATTCGAATGATAAAGCTCACGTCAAACGAGTGTAGAAATATTAATCATTCAAAATTTCGATTTAGGTCAATTTTTATCAAATACCACAGCCATCTTTAAAATGATGTAATCCTTTTCTCAGCAAACGTAGTAAATTTCGCTAAATTCTTTTTCATTTTACAAAAGATTTTCAAAAAAATTGTCGAATGTACACCCCTTACTGAGCAATGCATTTGCGTTAATACATTCCTACGCTCGGAAACGTACGATGTATTGCGCTCTCGCATTCCAGAGAGAGAGATTAGCTTACGAATATAAATAAAAGAATTTTAAAAAATCAGCTGTGCATTATCTGCGTCTCTCTGTGTGTTTAAATCGAGTAATTAGCGTATCGGTTGTGTCTACAATCGAGACACAACAACCGAATGCAGACAAGCGCGAGAAATTGTTTGTCTATACGATGGATTGCGCCATTGGGATCGAACTTTATTACGGGATAAAACATATATGAGAAAATAGATCTTTTATTTCACTTCGTTTGCTTATTTCTTTTTATATCTATAATATCAGTGACGTCATGGCAGCGCGAGATGTTACGTATCAGACCCTACTATCTGTGTACTCGTCGTAGACCTCCTCGCCAGAATCGTAATCGTCTGTCGGTTCTACTTTCGCGCCTCCCTCATCATTTTTCGGCGGGTCTGGATCTGGTCTCGACTGTGGTAACAGATAAACAAACAATGTCATTTAGCGCGTCACAATACACACACACACTTACATAATTACAGATAGCAGCATCTCTTGTATATTATAATCAAAAATTTAAAGAACTCACGATTATGTTTCGGCACTCGAGATCGCACTGCTGCTTCGTCTCGTAGCCGTACCAGTTGGGCAGCTGGTCGGCCTGGAACGGCACGCACGAGTCCGTGTTCTCGACGAAACGGTAGAAGGTCTGGCTGCCGCTGGACACGTGGAAGGGTATGGTCTCGCAACGCGGGGGTCGCCAGACGCGATGGCTCGTCGGGCCGATTTTCAAGCCCAACGTGGGAAGACCTGATTATACGAAAGGACATTATGATTTTAAATATTTCCATTGTACCGCCTGATTTAGGGGTATGGTTGAATTGATGTAAGTAGCGTCAATCAATAAAAATCTAATCAATAATTTATTTGCTCTAAAACAACAAACCTTAAAAAGTACACATTATAAGTAAATATATGACGAAAGAAAAACAAAAAGATTAGAGACTCACCGTTTACACTCAAGAACAATGCTGATATACAGGAAAAAATAAATACCAACTTCATGTTTATTTCCGTGCACGACGCTAACGTTGTCGTGCCTGAAAATCGACTGTTTTGAAAATTTTAATCGTTAATGCTTTTTGTTAACGTCAGTCAGATTTTATATTATATATACGGTTTCGCGAGGAAAATTAGACGATAATTTTAATTGTTTTTTTTTTTCTAATTTTTTAATGGCATATATTAGTTAAAAAGCGAATCTTAACATTCATCGATTTACACTAAATATACGAACACTTTTTTGTAATTTTTCTTATCAATGTTATATCTGACACACTACTTTTTCTTTGTCACAATGGAGTAGCGATACGAGATACGTCAATCATCATTGGCGGTCATTCAACTAAACCAACTAATTATTTAATGATACATCGATATCAATTTTACTTTTGTCGCAATATACACAAGTACGATCGAGAGCGATATTACTCGTTCAGGGGAGGGATTAATTGGCAACAAATCGCGTACATTACGCAAGAAAAAAAATAAATATAGCTCCCACACGCGCGCCATAATATCAAGCACAATGACGCGTACATATACTATACATATACCATATTGGAGTGCAGCAGCGGCAGCAGCTCGTCGCTCCGCTGCTGAGAGGCCGTGAAGGGTTATTGCCTTGTACACAACAATCCTAATGGCACATACACACAGCCAAGGGGTGAAATGCGCGAGCGAGTGTTCGCTCGAGCGTACGGGGCTGTATTCGCTGGGCGAAAAAAAAGGCGACATTTAGGCTGCTTTAGCGGACTTTTATGTACTCTGTTGGATCTCTCTCTCTCTCTCTCGCTCTCTGCTGTTGCGAGGGGGTGGCGCAGTTTTTTCCCGTATAAACTCGAGTGACTTCCGGACGACGCGGCTCAGCAGAAGAAGAAGAAGAAGAAGAAGAAGAAACGACGAAATATTTACGCGGGTGGTAGCAAAGAAGGGGGTTGAAACTCTCTCTCTCTTTCTCTCTCTTTTGGCCTAATAAGATTCCCAGGATTTTGAGAGAGAGAGAGAGAGAAGGTTGTGCACACGCCGCGGCGGCTTTTTGCCACGCTACGATGAATCCGCTGTATGCGATTGTCCCACACGCGCGCGCGCACACAGCTCTCCTTTATACAAAACGGAATTCTCTGTTTCTCTCCCTTTTTTTTTCTGCTTCTCTCCTGTCTCTCTGGTATATTACATAACAGCCGCCACTAAATATGGTGTGCTTTATCGTGAACGTCTTGGGCACAGAAAAAAAAAAAGAATTACCCATATCTCGTTGGCAATTTGGCTGCCGAGCGTTCACCCTCTGGCGACGACGATCGTCATATCGATAGGCCATTTGTGCGTCGTTATATACGTAAATAGACACTCGAAAATCACGATGAAACATAAGGGCGTGTCGAGACGTCGATCCGCTCGACGAGAGGGAGACAAAAAAAAGAGAGAGAGAAAGAGAGAAGTATATAAGCACGTGCGATTCGAGGACTTTCATTAGCGCGAGAGAGTCGTGTACAGACATTATGATTTCACAATTAAGAAGCCGATATGCCAATTAACGGAATGCTGCTGTTCTTTTCTCCGTTCCATTCTCGAGAAATAATTATTAATTTTTAATTAATAAAAAGAGCTGCTGATTCTGCATTCGCGGAAACCCAAAAACTTATCACCGCGATACAATCGCGAAACGTTTATCCCCTCGTTTCGCGTCGTGCTCCATGTCGACCGCTGCAATCTAGCGCGCGGCGTGACGTATATATACCTATTTATATAACACACACATCAAAGGGAGAGCGAGCGCGCGCGAAGGGTCAGAGAATCGTGCCCGGCATACCCCGAGAGTATTTGACTGCTTGATTAAGTCATTCGAGGCTCCTTCTCTCTCACCCCGCCCCCTGCGCCTCTGGATACACAAGGTCTTTAACCGAGGAACGAGATTTCTCGCCTTCTCCTCTCTGCTGCTGGTGTCGAGTAGTAGGTATAGTGTGTGTCCGTTGCGCGAGGATATCTCTCTCTCTCTGTCTTTTTGTCTGTCCGCTGCGCGTAGAACCGAATAATAGATTTAATGAGCTTGCGGCCGTATCTATGCCATTGTGGCACGTTGTGTCCATTAAGACGGACACACCCTTTGTCGAGTGTAGGCACCTATTGTACATATACCTAAAGTTTTCGGCACTAGGCTATATAGGTGTAATATATATAATGGTATACACTTGAGGTGAATCACGCGCGCGAGTCGTTATCGTTTTACATTAATCGCTCCAATGCGTATTTTATACAAAAAAAAAAAGAAAAAGAAGAAGAATGATTGTATACGACGAAAAAAAAAACGCAAACGCACCCCCCTATCGAGGCAATGACTCGACACTTACCACTGTACGTACTAAGAGTAGTGTATAGCACCTGACGATCGCCAATCTAATCTCCGAGTGTAGCGTTAAAGAAAAGCTTTACGCTTATTTTCTATATATTATAAGTACAATCGGCAGAGAGATGAATTATGAAGAATCAAAAGAGCGTAATGTGTCTGTGTGCAACGCTTCGTGAAGAGAGAGAGATACTCGCACGCGAAACTCGAAAAACCAGACGATAGCATAAAATGTATACTACTATGTATATATCAAGAACAACAGCGGCAGCAGCAGCATCGAAGACACGGTACGCATGTGGAGGCCAAACAATGTCATAATAAAAGCCGTGTGTAGCGGCGTAGCGAAACAAACGAGTTCAATTTATGCTTTTTGTCCGCATAGGCCTTTCACGTGTATACAGATAGGACGAAACGCGGTCATCTCTAGATAGTACTACAGCTGTATATAATATTTTATACATATTATTATCATTCAAATTTTTTTTCTTATATATTATATACATTACGGGTAGCCCAGAAGAAAACAATGCCGAGTGTCAAATTATGTGTGCGGTATATAATATAATATATATCTGTTGGCGAACAAAAGCCCATTAACCAGTTTCGAATTATCTTGTTCGTAATATATAGATGAACGAGCTGCTGCGGCTGCTATTTCTGGATGAAAAGAAAAAAAAATTGAATCTCACAACGAAAGTCTCGAATTAACTCTTACCGACTCCGTTCGACAGATGGAGCATTCAAAACTCGCAAGCAGCAAGACACATTACCGATTGGTATAAACATACGACATTTACAAGTTTGAACAATTATCTAATCGTTCTATAAATTCAATCGATTATCCTTTACATTTTTCGAGAGATCGTAATCGATTATCTTCGATCATTACTCGTTGCGTGTCTTAAAATCAGAGCGCAACTTGTGTGTCGGTCGGGATTGTATTCTTTCCCATAGGACCTCTTGAAACTAGTCCTTTTTTTTAATGTCTTCTTCATTGTGCCGCGAGCGAGAAGAAAAATCGACGCTTACAGCAGCAGGACCCGCAGCGGCAAGGCACGCATTGGACGATCGTGAGAGAGAGACAGAATCCAGTCGCACAGTTACATATTATATGAAAAAAAAAATAACACACGGTGCGTGGAGCGAGTGAGAGAAACAGCAGCAGCAGCGAAGAGTCATATTATACACATTACTGTGAATAGGAAAAAAATAGCGTGAATAGCCCCGCGTGCGCAAGGTGCAACGGCAGCAGCAGCAGCCCAACTGGACGCCTCCAAAAATTCTCCATCGTATAATCTCGCGCGAACAGCAGCAGCAGCAGCTGTGGCAGCTACCGTAGCTACTACTACTACTACTACTACTACCTTTTACCTTTTTTCTTCTTCTTCTTTTACCTTCTTTTCTTCGTCTTATTCTTCGCGGCTCAAAAAGCGACGAGCGAGGAAAAAGAAGAAGAAAAGACCGCGCCGTGTACATAATGGCCCCGAGACACCTCTGCTGCTGCTGCTGTTGTGTTGTCTCTCTGTTTCGAAAAATTCTCTTGGCACTGCTGCTTTGCTTTATGAGGCACAATAGACCGCTGCTGCTGTTCATGTGCTGCTGCGCGCCACTTTGCGATTATATTGTATATAAAATGAGAGATAGCGTCAAAAGTTAAGGATGGGCGCAAAGGAAAAAAAAAAAGACTCGGAGCTTTTTTCGGAGGTGTACCACCACCACCACAGCACGCGTTGAAAAAAAAAGAAGCCAGTCGACGCGCAACGAGGTGCGAGATATATAGCCCCGCTCGCGCGCGCGCGCAATGCGATTAATATAATAATGAAAGGTCGAGCTTGCGGTGAGCTCGCGCGAGAAGAAGATGACGATGAAAAAAAAAAAAGAAAAGGAGCATAAAGGGTGGAGTCTAGTCTCTCTCTCTCACTTGGAAGTACTCGGAGATTTATCGCCGGTGATAATTTTGTTCGCGCGGCAATAAATACAAATGAGCTGCCGGGCCTGCCGCGCTGCTGCTAAACGGGGGCTCTCCCTCTCCTTTTTGCAGCTCGTGCGCGCGCGCGTGTGACATTCAGAAAAACTCGTGATTTAATATGTGAAATTCTTAACATATACACATACTTACAAGCACTAATTCATCCGTCCATTGTGCGCGTGTATTATAATACGTTTCTTCTTCTTCTTCTTCTTCTTCTTCTTTTTTGTCTCTCTCTCTTACCTCTGCATTAACGTCGAGCAACGAGAAAATTAATTGTTCCTTTGCTCTCTTTCAGCTCTCTGGGATAATACGATCGTGGTGGTGGTGGTACCTGGAAATCCTTGGAAGGAAGATTTTCTCCGCTCGCGCGTGTGTATATAATAACGTTATGCAACGATGCTAGATATACCCGCGTCTTTGTCCGAGTCATTAAAATGCAAACGGCAGCAGAGGAAGCACAAAAGCGGCCCCGGCTGAAAAGTCAAAAAGCCAAACGACGTAAACGGCGTATAATAATATCGTTTGAAGAAGCTGCTCGAGGAATTGTTGTGACAGGATTTATCATACATACGATTACGACAATTTTTCACTCATTTTGTTTTATTTTTCATTTATCTTTATTTATACTTTATATATTTTCCGTCGATTCTTTTCTGTTTGTTTCCAGCTTATCGATATAGTGTTTAATTTCGGTTTACACAATATATTTATAGATTAAATTTTTTTTTTTTCGTTTCGGAGAGTGGGTTTTTTGTTCGGTAAATGGATAATCGAGATAACCAGCGTGTAATATACATTACGCATATATTTATAAATATATATATATTTATATTATGTATAAGGTTGAACTATGCGTTTGTTTTTTTTTTCTTTGCTTTTATCGTAACAATGGATATGCGATGCTTTTGCGCGCCATGAATAATGGATGGTGTTCGAGGGACCACCGAGTTAATACAGTGCACACACATACAGACACACACACGCATGCATTCATACTTCTATGTACACGAGAAGAGAGAGATGTATATAAAGTTGACAAAAAAGTCGGACGTATTTTTTCGTTTACCCTCGAAAAAGGAAACAGTTTTGTTTCGGCCGCGCGCGCGCGCGAGACACATCCCGGACTGCTACCGTCGCGCGAAAGACAAATGTTGAGAAATTCCGTACACATATTAAGCTCCACAGCCCGAAGTGGAGGACGAAGAAGAAGAAGACGAAGAAGTGTAGGAAAAAAAAAGAGAGAGAAAAGAGAAAAACGTATATAACGGAGAACGATAATGGCATTTTGACTATGTAAAAGCAGTCAACAAAGGGGAAAATCATCTTACGTAGTATAGGCATAATATATTATCTATTTACAGTAAAACGTAATGTTTCTTTTCGTACGCGAGACCGCAAATACGTTTGACAGTCGTAACTACTCGCGTGCGTGTGTACGCTACGCTCATTCTTTTTCTTTTTTTGTCTTTTCTTTTTTCTTTTTTTGTTCGTTCTTTTGTTGGATCGTTCGGCACGATTATCATAATAATGTAAGTTATACGATTGCCGATCAGCCGATTCTCTCTCTGTATTTTCCATTCGTTGATTTTGGGCTAAAAAAAATTTTTTTTTTTTTTCATATGTATAATTAATTATTCGTGTGTTTCGTATATTATATATAGCTTTGCTTTTTTCGATATTTTACACATTTTTCTTTATTATTTATTCTCTTAAAAGCTACACGTGTGCGTAGAATACAATATATGGTTTTCGACGAAAAACAGCACTGAGTAACTAACAATGTTATTAGAATAATACGTATAAAAAAAAATTGTCGAGAAGCTCGTTTCGTTTTTCACTTTTGCACCATCGCACAAAATTTGCGTTACGAATTACATATTGCATACGTTTAAGCGAAATAATAAGGAGTAAGTATAGAAAATTTATTGAAACAAAAAAATGTTTATTCTTGCATCGTTCATTCTCTTAGATTTATAAATATATAAATAATTTTAACATTACATAAGTTTATGTTACAATTATACGGACAGATTCTGAAATTGTGCTACGCAATATTTACAAGAGACATGAATTAACTATTTACAATACACATTTTTTCCCCCATAGCACTTCGGAAATTAAAACAAAAATAGAAAATGTACAAAAGTCGAAAGTGAAAAGTAAAAAAAGAGAACAGATAGAGACAGAGTGATTAATCTTAAAATATTCTTAATAACTAAAAGAATGAAAAAAGTCCGAGATTCGTTTGCTTTTTGTCGTTTTTTTTCTAAAAATCCGAAATAATCAAATGACTCGTCGGTTGAATCGCTTACGATAGGAACACAATACCGTTAGAAGTCCTGAGATTTCGCGAAAACTTCTCCCTTAAATCGAAGTACAACTTTTTTTTTGTTTTATTTTTATTTTTTTCTTTTAACGTTCGATATTCCAAATTTTCGCTTTGCGACACTCGGCTCTGTAAAAGTCCAGGCGTGGAAATGTAACATTTTCAAGCGATCACTTGGAATACAAAAGTTACACTTTTGTCTTCCGAAACGAATGCGAATTTTCAATGCTTGAGGTGCGAACGGTATCATACCCTAGTTGTGCCAGTGTGTAGAAGTTCAAGGTTTTTGTTTTTTTTTTCTAAATCTTTCCTTTACTTTATATTTTGTGCACTTTTCAACAAAATTTTCAAACAACTTTAGCTTTTCTTACTGATTTGTCTATTAATATTTATGATTTTAATCAAAGAACTTCTACGCCTGTACACAAAATACGTATGATAGGGTGAGATTCCCCTTAATATGCGAATAAGATTTAACTCTGTTGCGTAAAATCGAACCTTGTGTTCTTTAAACTCAATGAAAAAAAAAAAAATTATAAATACAGTTACGACAACATTGAAAAAAAAACCTTTTTTTTTTCTAAAAAAGAAGAAATGTGCTGTGAAGGATTGCTATAATTAGAAGAGACATTTTTTTGCTTGTCGATTTGAATTACTAATCGTTGAATCGTAATTAATACTAGTCGCTATCTAATCGTATGTATATATTTATATTTGTGTAATATTATCGTCAATACATAAAACTGTATCATACCTTTATACCCAAGACAATTCGAAACGATATACAGTATTAATAATAATAATAATTAAATGCAACGGTTAAAACCAGTATCACTTTGACATATCACGAGCTGGCGATGATTTTTTTTTTTTTACTCATTTTTCATTTTTTTTTCCACTTAATTATTCCAAAAATACCAAACATTCATACATATTTGCACGTTGAGATTTTTCCACGTATAGTAACGCCAGCTTTGGATAAATAAAAATTTTGAAATGTCTTGTACTCGAAGAACAACAGTTAAAACAAAATAACAAATTATCCGCTGCCGTTTTTTCTTTCATCCTATATTTTCATTCAGGATTTTGTCTCACCTCTCTAACGGACTATATTTAATAAGACTTAAAATTTTGCAGTACTTACACGCGTGATCCATACCCTGAGTGTACAACGCTGCAGAAAAAGAACTTTTGAATTGAAATCTTTCGATACGATAAAAAAAGAAGAAAAAAAGTAAGATTAGTTTTAAATTTATTAAAATTCAATTCGATTCTATACAATTTTTAACTAAATTAAAAGATAATATGTACACAATTCGAGTACGCGTCAGAGAAAGCGAGACAACAATCGTACGTAAAAAAAAATTAAAAATAAAACAAAATATCTACAAGTCCTCCCCTCAAACAAACATCAAATAAATAATTCACTCGTCGTTGTTTCTCGTTCATCTTTATCCTCATCCTCAACGTCGTCACTCTTTCTCGTATTGTTGTTGCTGTTGGTCACGTTGCTGTTGCTGCTGCTGCTGCTGAGCAATCATGACTCATAGCTAAGCCGCCCGATCGGGTCACAAGAGCAGCGACATCGGCTGGCGGAACGACGACTCGGCGCCCCGACCCGCCGCCCCTATCGCGCTCTGATAATTCATGTAGCTGCCCATCTGCGGGGCGAGGAAGCTCGCCGGTGCGGTGGCGGCGACGGCCGCGGCGGCCGCGGCGGCGTTCGAGTAGTAGCTCGAGGTGACGCTCGCCGCCGGGCTCGAGGTCGACGCGGAGGACCCGCTGGACGCGGCCGTGTTGTTGGCCTCGTTGTTGACGTCGTTGCTGTTGTTGTTGCTGCTCTGCTGCTTCAAGGAGAAGGACTGATTTTTGCTACTGCCACCGCCGCCGTTATTGCTCTCGGGCGAGTCGGCCACGGGCGAGCGACTGCTGTTGACCGGACTCGCGTCGTCGTACAGTTTGCTACCCTCGAACGACGACCGGCCGTACTCTACCGAATTCTTCTGTTGCTGCTGTTGCTGCTGTTGTTGTTGTTGTTGTTGCTGCTGCTGTTGTTGCTGCTGTTGCTGTTGCTGCTGCTGCTGATCCATGTAGAGCTTGGACTGCTCGAAGTAGGCCTTGGCCGAGTCGAGATAGCTGCGGTCCAGGTAGGACTTGGGACTGGTGTCGAGGTACTTGGCCTCGGAGTACATGGACATGGCGAGGGTCGACGAGGGCGGCATGTAGGCCGCCCGATACTTGTCCGCCTCCATCGAGTACTTCATCGCGTCCATCGAGCTCACGACCTGTTGTTCGTTCGATAATACGAAAGGGAGAAAATAAACATGAATCCAGTTTTAAGCTTCGGTATGTGTATCATTATCATACGCATGTATTATTATACGAGGCGTACGACTCCACCCACGCAGAAATTCCTTGCGATTTACACGGCTGTCGTTTCGTGCGATATTTATACGGCATATTCCTCGCTAAAAACGTGAAAAATGACGCTAATACGAAAATAAAAAAATAAAAAAATTAAAAATAAGCTCGATGCCAGAAAGAGAGAGAGAGAGAGAGAGAAAAACCGGTGGCAGCCTTTGTCCGCAACGCGCAGTGACAGTTTGCCTTCTCGAATTTATGCGCGAATTATGCCTCGTGCATATATTGCAACTCTGTCGTTTCTGTCTGTGTCCGTGTGTGTATGTGTGTATTAGTGTTGTGTAGAGAGCTCGCTCACGAGCTACCGTGTCTGCGCTGCCGTCTACGCGCAGTGCACCTGTGAAAACTTTATATACACACATACGTGTATGGTACGCCACCTGCGTTTACACGCGCGCCTCGACTCTTTTTTTTTTTGTTCCTTTCTTTGCGCGTTCGATTCCTTATTATTTGCTCGCGGCGAGAGAGAGAAAAACTGCAACTCACGATTACAATATATATATTCGTTGTGTTGTTGCGTACATACTTGCGAACGAATTTTTCACCTACGACGATAAAAATATACTCCACGTAATTCGTCACATTCGGGCGCTTGATAAGCTCGTTTGTTGTACATCGTGCATATAGGCACCGTTAATACGGTTATATACCTATTATGCGTATTTATGTACTTTTATCGCCGTTAATTATCTGGTGGTGTATAGCGAAAGAGCGAAGTTTTTTTTTTTTCATGGTATTATTAGTATACAGCTGCTGAAGGTAGAGTGAGAAATTTTTTCTTTCAAGTATTGTGTAATTACGATTAGTATACGTTCCGTTGTGATTGATGTACCGCGTCTAATTGTGCAGAGCATTGTAAATGTAGCGATACTCGTGATCGCGATATATCGCCGGTAGATGGCGAGCGAGGCATTTTTTAGCGAAACTCGCAAGTGGTAAGATGAGTTTAAAGTATACAAGAAAATTTAAAGAGTTTAAAGTAGATGGTCTCTTATCTTGTATTTTTTTAAGTGAGTCTGAAGGAAAAAAGATGATTCACGTTAAAAGTAAGATCTTCCATTGAAAACGTTTTCAAATACACACGTTTTCCGAGATTTCATATTCGAAAAATACCCACGAAAATCACAACAACAAAAATATTCATTGAAATTATGTATAATCATTATTGCCTGATTTGCAAAACGAAAAACAAAGAAAGTAGCATTGAACCGCCCAACGAACACGGTGCAGGCCTTTGTTTTTTAATTGTTTTATTTTTCTCGTTAAACCTTTCATTCCACTTTCGCTCGCGAACTATATACACGATATATCTCCAGTGTAAATGAAATAAATATCAATTATACTTTTCTAATAACCCCGCCAATATTTGATATTCGCCACGAAAAAGGAAGGTAACGTATAACATAAAAATAAGTTCATTCGCCGTAAATACGGATACGTATTATAACTATAACAGATCCAAGCAGCAAATATATATCTACTACTACACACATACACGAGTGCGTATATAGAAAGCGCGAGAAAAGGTCTCTCTCTCTCTCTCTTTCTGGCTCTTTTGTCGGGTCGTTAAGCCGCTTTTGTCCGCAGTCGAGCTGCGATGATTTACGCGCCCCGTATTCGCGATCGCTGCACATAGAGAGAGACCAGCAAGACCAGCTTTTTCTCTCTCTCTGCTTCTCTCTCTAATATTTACAAACTCTTTTCAGCGTTTCGCATGTCCAATTGATTATCCGTCATTATTATAATGATTATCGCGATCGCCGATTATTATTAGCGCAACGCGCCAAGTTTTGACCTCGCGCGGCTCGTAAATAATATCGCTCGTCGAGGAAAGAAGAAAAAAATTAGAGAATCAAGTATGTATACGCGTGTATAGCGATCTATCATCCTATACGGAGCTTATCTTATGATACAAGTGTGAGTATGCGTGACCAGCCTAATATACTTAATCGATTTATGTATTTATATACACGATGCTTATGCATGCGGTCGAGTAGTTTAAGTAAAGGCCGATTAGCGTTAATTGTCTGCGTGTGTACGCGTAATTATAATAATGCTCAATGATCACGTCCGAGTGGCTCAAAACAATTAGTGTACACACATGCGCGTGGGTGGATGCCGCACGATTGCCGTCGATCATTTTTACTTTTTCTTCTCTTCACACATTTCGTATCCGAGGAAACGTGATGACGCTAATCCTAACGAGTATATACACTCGACACCTTGTCTTCTCAAATTACATCATTACCAAAGAAAAAAAAAAAAATGGAAACTCACCTGGGCCGGTGCAGTGAGTCCGGCGGACATGGCGGCTGCGGACTGTTGGGCCGCCGCGGCCGCGGCCGCTGCCATGCTCGCCGCCGACAGCGAGCCGTAGGCCGCGTGGCCGTAGTACGAGTTCATCCCCGCGGCCGCTGGCATATCTACAACACGTGGATAGGCTATGGATAAGGGAAAAAAAAAAGAAAGAAGACAAATGTATTATACTGTATTATGTGTAAAAATTGTAGCGCAAGACAATGTTGCGCGCGTTACAATGATTTTTTTTTATAAATAAATATAAATTTTTTTTATAATTATAATAATGTGTCTTTGTGCGCGCGAAATGAATGAAGCGTACGTCGTTTGCATGAAAGCTTATATATCGATGAAAAGAGGCACACACGTATTGAACGGCGGAGAAAAAGAAAAACACAAGCGAATATAATAGGCAGGTCGCGCGCAGCGAGCGAAGGTGCGAGAAAAGAGAGAGAGAGAGAGAGAAAGAATACAAAAGTCATGTCCTCGGCCGTTCTCGCGAGGCGAGCGAGTCATTCGAGCAAATCAATCGTTTTACACACACATATGTGCAGCTGCATGCATATATATAAGCTTGAGAGCTCGAGGAAAGGAGTACCGAGAAAATCAGAGAAGACACGCGTCGCTCACGGTTCATTTACGACGACGACGTTGGACTATGGCTGCTACGACAATGACAATGACAATGTGACTTCGCCGGGAGAAAGAGAGAGAGAGAGAGAGAGAGAGAGAGAGAGAGAGAGAGAGATTTATGGTCATCGATGGTTATTTTCGCTTATTACACACACACAGGCACACGTCACGTGCGCGCGCATGGCATGCAAAAGACGCGCGAGTTCGAGTTATATATATGTTTACTCGAGTCGAGCGAAGGGGATAAGAGGAAGAAAATCATCGTTGCGGGATGCATATTATGATGATCGGAGCGAGATCGAATTTTTGGAATGAAGCTGCTAAAACGAGTAGACTCTTCGATCGATACTCCGAGAGAAATGCTCGACATTGATAATGGATTAAAAATTATCAAAACGACCAACTGTTAAAAAAGAGTCTAAACCACACTTTGGAAACAGCGTTACTTTTTTCCACCACTAGATGGCTAGTAACCGTATTATCTGTAAGTCCACAAGTGGTGAAGTCAAAAATTGTTTATAAGTCAGAGAGTTGGATTGGTATGGTATGATACTGTGTATGAGTTTTAGGCTAGTTCATACATCAAGACTCAATGGCTCTTTTCTGCACACATTAAACTTTTTTTCGTCGATGAAAAAACTCCACCAGGCTAACGAATCTCGAAATAATAATTGCCCCGTCTGTACGCACAACGAGGCTCGAAATAATTCGCGCAATCGCGCCCTGCGATTGTTCACTTGTATCGCGCAATCTCACACACATACACACATCTGTTGCTTATGTACACGCGTTTATGAAAAAAAAAAAAAAAAATGTTTTGCGCCTCCTATCCCCCCGATTGGTGGGGTAAAGAGTCTCGAAGTCGTCGGTGGAATAATCATTTATTTTTCTCCTTTTTTTTTTTTAATTTGAATTAAGAGCTACGCCAGAGCCGATGTATCATCGCGCATATACACACACACGCAGAGAGCTCCGATATTAGAATCAATCTCGCGTTCAAACAAACGGGCGCGCGATATATATAACGTTGAAAGAGAAATAAGAGAGAAGAAGAAAAGAGCTCGAGTGTGTGTGTATGCTCGGTGCAATTTCTATCATTAGAACGCCAGAGAGAGAGAGAGAGAGAAAGAAAGCAAAGAAAAGACGAAACAAAGAAATCAAAACAATACGGCGTGGCAAAGATAAGCTATAGGCGGGCGGGCGGCGGCCCATTGAGACGTTGACGCGAGAATAAGCGAGGGTGTGGGACAACCACCACCAACTACCACTAGTACCGTAAATACACGTACGTGTGTACGTGTGCGAGTGTGTATACACGGAGAATAAAAGAAACTTATAGACGGCGATGAGTTTGTTTGTGTATATATACACCCTGCAGGCCTCTCAATTATTATTATCCACTTTCCGAAGCTGTTTGTGTCTGCGCGCCTAGTATAAGGCTGGTGCTGCTGCACCCCAACTTTTTCTCTCTTCTCTCTCTCTCTCGGGGCGCGCGAGAGCCGAGCGTTAAATCACGGACGATCTGCGATGTGTATATGATTTCGCTCGATTATCCAAGAGAGAGAAGGAGAAAGAGAAAGAGAGAGATTGAAAGACCGTAATTACGCCGGAGTTCGCGAATCGCAAATCGATGGATTGATATTTTGCTCGCTCGACGACGTGTTACACGCGATGATTGATTTAATGACCCAACCGATCCATACATTTCGCCGACTCATTTTTGTTGATAAGTCGATTACGAACGAATAATAATAACGATGCAACTTTTCTTCTACTGATCGTCAATTTATAATCGCCGAGTTTTGCAATTACAGAAGTAAATACGTATACAGCGCGAGTCGACCCCTGGTTAAATGTTGCGGCGCGTGTTTGCTCGAGACTCGAAAGGATGGATTAGCCTAGCAAATGCGTGTGTATGTGGATTCAAAGCCTCGAGCCATGAGATGCGCGCCTTGACGCGTCCAAGAGAGCCGTTTAGCGCGTGCGAGTGATTTTTCGACGCGTCCGCAGGGACATATATCCTGTTTGTGCTGCTGCTATACTAGCTCGCTGCGATCCTTTGAGTAAATATAACGATGGAAGGCAAACGACGCGGAGCTTATACATAGGTGAGACGTGCGCGTATCGATACGCTGATTTGCATTTTATACGTCTGTGTGTCTGTGCGAGAGGAAAATTTCACGATTATATACTCACTTCTGAGGGCGTCCATCGGTACGCTCGGATAGGGTATGCTGTAGGGATAGCCCTCCTTTCTGTGTGTCTTTGGTTTTCTGCGCGGCCTATATTTGTAGTCCGGGTGCTCCTTCATGTGCATCGCTCGCAGCCGCTTGGCCTCGTCGATGAACGGCAGCTTCTCCTCCTCCGTCAGCAGTTTCCATTCGGCTCCTGAGAAAAGAGAAAACGGAAGCAAAAACGTTAGAAAAGGTGCGAATGACCCAATGTTTCGCGGGGTTTATCGTGTACGACAGTCTCTCAATACCGTTCATTAATCTCTTTTTCTTGTTTTCGTGTGAATTTCAAACGGGTCGTATAGAAGGACCGTCGAGACGACGACGAAAAAAACAAAGGAGATCGCTTATGACTTATGGGGTCGAATGATCGAGCTATATACATAAGTGTCTTGAATGGATACTTTAATCGATTCCCGCGGTATAGTACACACCCGGTAAAGACGTAGTGGGTATGTCTCTACAATTTATTCACAAACATAGCAGAGTATTATACAATGAAGTTTGAAATTCAACTTTTTTATACGAATAGGAAGGGTTTTTGCCTTTTGCGAATTTACTTTAATTGAAAACTGCATTTATACAATCAGATATTTGTTTTACCACTTGCGGGTTTGCAATACTCCATCTGTCGACGGGATCAAAAAGCTATAGGGCAATCAAAATGTGATATGCGGCTTTGTTTACGATTTATTACCGATGTACATACTTCGCTCAGCTTTTACGGGGTTAACTTGAAATCTTTCCCCCACAACTATATAGCCTAATGAAAACATTATTTATGATCGCGTTATTACGGGCGAGCGCATCGTTTCCCAGTAACGCGGGCAATTAAGATCGATCATCGATCTCCAATATCATTATGTCATTCTACATATAATGTTCGGCTGCATCGAGTACGTGTATACACAATGAAATACGATTCGTAAAGAGGTGTGAAGTATTCGCACCCACGGATCGGAAGAAAACGATAAACGCTTCTTCCGGTTTTTTTATTAATTTTTTTTTTCTACGCCCTTCTTCGATGCACATGCTCGTGAGCTCTCTGCGGAAGTCGTGGCATTTAAAAAGGCAGCGCTTAGAGCACGTGGCATCACGTCAAAGGTTTATATCGTGTATATGTAGATTGAAAATTCGTCGATCGAATCGATCCTCTGAGCATCTGCGCATATATTATAACGATAATTTAATATAACCGACGCAGAAAATCAGCAGCGTGCACAAACGCTGTATGTGTACGCAGTCGATTGCCATGCATTAAATTCTTTTTACCTCTTTGAAAGAGAAGCAAGAAAAAAAGAGAAGAAGAAGAAGAAGAGGAGTATCTCTCGCGCGTCTCATAGCGCACTGCAAGTATATATACGCCACAATAAATCCTCGTTACCGCCGTGACAAGCGCGCCAAAGAGGCAGAGATTTGTCTTACAAATTCTCTCTCTCTCTCTTCCTCGTGGAGGGGATACACTACACACCAGCTCTCTCGCTCTCCATCTTATCTCGCTGCGCCGTCTATACTCCTCTTCTTCTTCTATTATTATTATTTTACCTTTTTTTTTATACCAACCCATATAAGCATATAAACGAGATACGAGCAAAAGAGTATACCCAAAGAGGAAGTAGACGTGTATATACTGCTATACACGGCCTCGTACCTCCATTGTCGGCCTCGCTGCCGGGGCTAATTAAGCACAGTTCCGAATTCTTTTCATCACCTTCTTCTTGATATTCCAATTTCTCCGGTGCGCAGAGATCTCTCCGTATATATACTACTATGTGCTGCGCGTCTGGACAGATGCGGAATCGGAGGTGAGACGCGTTACATGTACGCATGCCTCGTACCTTACATTGTTGTTATCCACTGACTCGCGTTTCTTTTCTTTCGTATATTACATTACCGTATAGCAGTAGTATGTCGCTTGCAGCATCGGCAGCAGCAGCAGCCCCAATGTCCGTGCGTTGTCCGAAAAAGGAAGAAGGAGATGAAAAAAAAAAGTGGGCACCTATATCTCTCTCTCTCTCTTGTAACAGGATAAATCTTCTCCGTGGCATTCTCATCTCATTACCGGCTCTGTATCTGCTGGCCAGTTTTTAGATTATATATATACGTATGTGTGTATGTGTGTGCTATATGGCTCGCGCAGCGCAACGCAACGCAACGCGCGAGGGCAGAGAGCAGCGGCACCGGCACCATCATAACAATAACAATAAGTACAGTGTACAGAGCGAATTCGAGTTTTCTGCGCATTGTCTTTTTTCGTCTATTGTACACCTTGCTGCTGGGCTACTGATGTTACAAACAGCAGCAGCCCATGTGAGAGTTGCCATGGACAATTCACGCGCGCGTATATACTCTTCTTCTTCTTCTTCTTTTTTCTTTGTTTCCTCCTTTTCTTTGCAATGATATTCCGCATTGAAAAGAAACAACCGACTCTTGTTTCTCATCTCACAGGCAGCAGCCAGCAGCAGTAGTTGCCTCTCTCTCTCTCTCTGCTCCGTGCACGTATGTCTCTCTGCTGTGTGTAGAAGAGCTAAACACCGGACGAACTTCGTTGGGGGTACATATACAAGTTACTAAGTAGAAGTGGTGGTGGTGCCGGTAAGTCCGTCTTAATCTCGCGCACCAGTCCCGGATAATGGGATTTGCCTCACTCTCTCTGTAGGGGTTTAAGTTGCCGCCGAGAGACACAGGGAGGAATATACATAGAAAGATTTGGTTAATTGTTTAACGTAAAATTGATGCGGCCTCTTCTATCTGTCTTCTATCTGTCTTCTCTCTGGGAAAGATATATCTCTCGCTCTTGACGGACAAGACAGGGACACATACGGACAAGGCAGTAGAGAGACGTGTCAGGCCTGTTTGACGCTTGAGCGCCTTGCTCGAGCGTGCCGCTGATGCCGACACTCGTTTCTTTTTTTTTTTTTTATTCTTCTTCCTTAACGCTCCCGAATACTTCAACTACTTTTTTCTCTCTCTCTCTTCATGAATCTCGAGTGGCTGCGAAGGCTCGCCGCTCGTTCGCCCTTTTTTTTATTTCCATACACACATACTGACAAACGCCTATTATATCATCATCGAGTACTGTGTTACGTAACTATAGTCTGCATTGTGAGTGACCATCATACCGTTCGGACGCGTTAATGATTTTTTAATAAAATTTTCGACTGGAAAAAGCAAAGACTTGTGTGCGCTGTATGTATACAAACTCGATGCGTAGCTTTTGTCAATTGTCTACGCACATATCATATGCCGTATTATTATGTGTACCATTATTATACAGCAGAGAAAGAATGAAATAAAAGAAGTTTGCGCGTGCTCGAGATATTACACGGTCGTCAAATTGTGCGCGCGATTATACTCTTGGGTCTGTGGGTCCAAAATTTTTCATTCGGGAATTTCATTTGCTATAAAATGAAAAAAAAGCTCGATGTGCTTGAAATATTCAAGCCAAAAATTCGAATTGCGTACCTTTAACAAATTGGCTCTGCGTGTATCGGGACCCGATGAGCAATGGTGCAGGTGCGACAATAAATACAACGAATGGCCAATGCGCGCGGATACATACACGAATAATAATGGAAAACAATTGATATCGATATCGATATACCGCATCTCGATGCGTATATACAATTAACCCGAAAGCTCGAGTCAATGTCTGAATAAATACAACGGTGGTTATAACAAAAAAGCTTTCACACAACCCCGCGGTATATTCGTTTTATATCGATAAAATAATGTCGAGGCGCACGACGCTAGATATATTTTTGCAATACGCATCGTAACGTTGCGCGGTTTAATTGTTCATCAAATGATCCCTTCATTTCGGTTCTCTCGTTCGGCAGCTTTTTTCGACCCTCTCTCACTTTATTTTTCACTTTATTTATTTTTTTCATTTATTTTATTTTCGCGTATTCTCTCTCTCTCTCTCTCTCTCTCTCTCTCTCTCTCTCTCTCTCTCTCTCGGCCCCAGCGTTTTGTTTTCAACATTTAATTTTCGTGCCGAATACGTGTCCCGCAGCTTTATGCGTAGCAGCCGACGCACAACGGAGCTTTAATGAATGCATATATACGCGGCCGCGCGTACACAAAGCGAAGCGCAATGGAGCTTTTACGTATGCCATACATACACACGTTTTATGTATCGGATTTTTAGCACGTACACGCACCGCGTGATTTATTTATTTTTCACTCGATTGTTTTTCTTCTTTCTTTCTTTTTTGTTTTTAATTCTCGTACACGTGTACTGCTGTGAATGACTTCGGTAATTGCGGTGTGCGAGATTCGATTTGTGCGGGCGCGTTGCATTTATAATGTGTCGCGGCATTATAACGTAACATAAGCCACGCATTGTCGAGCTTATTATTCGCGAGAGAGGGAGACGAGAGACTATTCGCTAATTCAAGCTCGCATACACGTGGAAGAATCGAGAGCTTTTTTCTTCTTTCTTTTTTTTTTTTACTTCCATCATCAGTTTTAAAAACAAAAGCTCCCTTACGTGTCTGTGTGTAACTTGGCTCTCTCTCTATCGTGGAAGAAAAACGAGGCATGGCTGGCGCTCTCAAGAAGCCAGAAAGAGAGAGAGAGGACAAGAGGAGGCAAAAAAGAGCCTCTATAGCAGCGAGCTACGCAGAAACAATAGGCCAGTCATAAAAGGAGAGAGAGAGAAGCTTGGAGGGTGGGGAGGATATATTTGCTTAGAACCAATGGTTTTATACTGCGCGAAGAGCTCGCTCGAGCTTTTTGCCGGTGCGCGCATATAATGGCCGCGGATAACATAATAGCCGCTCTCTACCCCGGCTGCGTTTATTTAACATCGTTTAAAAGTACAAAGCCTGTTAATTAATGGATGGGAAGGCGGCGACGATGGCAGACGACGACGACGACGACGACGACTTTTACCTCGCGGGCACAAAAGGGCGCCGCTGCTCTACGTACAGTACGTGCTACTGCGCTGGTGCTTTTATCGATAAGCCTTTTGTGCATCCATGAATGTGTATATAAACCTTTCTCACTTTGCGTGTGGGGGGCAGAGGAAGTCGCCGCAGCACTACTGCGAGCTGAGCTTGCAGAGCGAGAGCTTAGATATACGTATTTTTGCGTCCAGTAATGTCTTTGTATTTTCAAAAGGAATTTGCCGCGGAATCATATATCGATGCGATG